GCAGCTAGCACTGTCCACAGGGACCTAGTTACGTTCATGTGCTTGTGCTCAGTCTGTCAGCATCGCTGCACTTGGTGGTAACATCTTACTGTCTTCACATTATTTACCTCTAGAGACTGCACACATATGATGATTTTTTTTAAACGCCAAAACCTCACAAAGACAGTTTTAATATTACATCTAAATGCTAACCCAAACACCTCATCCTGCACTACAGAAAAGAACTAACAGTGCATGTAAACTGGTTCATTGTGTATTATAAAAAGAGCAAACATAATCTAAACTTCAATCAGTGATGCATCCACATAGACACTCTTTTTGGCTTTCTAGAAGTGATTGAAAATCAGGCATGAGAAACAATGTAAATGTTAGTATCCTCTTAAACTCTGCTGTTGCATATTGTCAAACCCAGCAATACATAACAACTTGGCTATGTCTCCTGTTAACTAACTCTTGTTCTTTTTGTGATGAAAGCTTATGGCTAGCAGTTTTTAAATTGGAGGTACTGCGAGGTCATGCGAGGGATGTTGTTAGGACAATTCTACACTTTCAAAATATATGATTGTTTTTGTACTATCATAGGTACAGTGCCATATGTACAGTCAGGTCCATAAATATTGGGACATCGTCACAATTCTAACATTTTTGGCTCTATACACCACCACAATGGATTTGAAATGAAAAGAACAAGATGTGCTTTAACTGCAGACTGTCAGCTTTAATTTGAGGGTATTTACATCCAAATCAGATGAATGGTGTAGGAATTACAACAGTTTGCATAAGGGACCAAAAGTAATGGGACAGAATAATAATCATAAATCAAACTTTCACTTTTTAATACTTGGTTGCAAATCCTTTGCAGTCAATTACAGCCTGAAGTCTGGAACGCATAGACATCACCAGACGCTGGGTTTCATCCCTGGTGATGCTCTGCCAGGCCTCTACTGCAACTGTCTTCAGTTCCTGCTTGTTCTTGGGGCATTTTCCCTTCAGTTTTGTCTTCAGCAAGTGAAATGCATGCTCAATCGGATTCAGGTCAGGTGATTGACTTGGCCATTGCATACCATTCCACTTCTTTCCCTTAAACTCTTTGGTTGCTTTTGCAGTATGCTTTGGGTCATTGTCCATCTGCACTGTGAAGCGGCATCCAATGAGTTCTGAAGCATGTGGCTGAATATGAGCAGATAATATTGCCTGAAACACTTCAGAATTCATCCTGCTGCTTTTGTCAGCAGTCACATCATCAATAAATACAAGAGAACCAGTTCCATTGGCAGCCATACATGCCCACGCCATGACACTACCACCACCATGCTTCACTGATGAGGTGGTATGCTTAGGATCATGAGCAGTTCCATTCCCTCTCCATACTCTTCTCTTCCCATCACTCTGGTACAAGTTGATCTTGGTCTCATCTGTCCATAGGATGTTGTTCCAGAACTGTGAAGGCTTTTTTACATGTCGTTTGGCAAACTCTAATCTGGCCTTCCTGTTTTTGAGGCTCACCAATGGTTTACATCTTGTGGTGAACCCTCTGTATTCACTCTGGTGAAGTCTTCTCTTGATTGTTGACTTTGACACACATACACCTACCTCCTGGAGAGTGTTCTTGATCTGGCCAACTGTTGTGAAGGGTGTTTTCTTCACCAGGGAAAGAATTCTTTGGTCATCCACCACAGTTGTTTTCCGTGGTCTTCCAGGTCTTTTGGTGTTGCTGAGCTCACCGGTGCGTTCCTTCTTTTTAAGAATGTTCCAAACAGTTGTTTCGGCCACACCTAATGTTTTTACTATCTCTCTGATGGGTTTGTTTTGTTTTTTCAGCCCAATGATGGCTTGCTTCACTGATAGTGACAGCTCTTTGGATCTCATCTTGAGAGTTGACAGCAACAGATTCCAAATGCAAATAGCACACTTGAAATGAACTCTGGACCTTTTATCTGCTCATTGTAATTAGGATAATGAGGGAATAACACACACCTGGCCATGGAACAGCTGAGAAGCCAATTGTCCCATTACTTTTGGTCCCTTAACAAGTGGGAGGCACATATGCACACTCTTGTAATTCCTACACCGTTCACCTGATTTGGATGTAAATACCCTCAAATTAAAGCTGACAGCCTGCAGTTAAAGCACATCTTGTTCATTTAATTTCATTGTGGTGGTGTATGGAGCCATAAATTTTAGAATTGTGTCGATGTCCCAATATTTATGGACCTGACTGTATGTTTCTGTTTTGTGACTCTTTTTAAATGGCCACAGTCATGAGGTGTTGTGTGAATTGTCAGAGGTTTAGTTGAGCCAAGTTGGTTGCTACTTCCCAATTTTTCCTGGGGTAACAGAGGTGCAAAAGAACCTTGTACCTGTCATCATTAGCTGTTGCAGTAAGATGGTGACCCCACTTAAAGCTTCCAGCCTGTGTTGAAGGACATATGGGATGAAATCAGCATAGCAAGGGTTCTGTATATCAGTGGACGTTCTCTAAAAGAGAAGTACAGCCGAAGCTTGCTTGGCTGTGCTTCTCCTGTGAATCACAGGAGGGTAATCTGTTCTGCACTCCTGTAACCTGTTGTCAGTTGACATCATAGAGCCAGTTCAGGCTGGGGAAAGATATTGATCATAAGGTCAGAATCCACCCAGGTGCTTGTACCTGGTTCAGCCCTTCAGCGATCCACTGAGAGCCTGAACCAGCCACTCCCGCCCCATCAACAGCCCAGCTCTCCATTGAGTGCGGGGCATAGCAAACATCAGTGATCTTTGATTGCTCAGTTCTCAGTCTTATAGACATCGAGGGGGCCGATGCAGCATCGGACAAATGCTGCATCCACCTAGGTAGGTATGATTTCTAAAAAAAATAAAAAAAGCATACCTCTTTTTTAGCAGGTATAACAGACTGTAAAGCTGGTGCTCTAACTTGTTATCTCTTGAGGGAAAGGCTACACAAATGTTATCTTACAAAACTGAAGAAATAAAACTACAAGAATACAGTGGCAGTGCTGATTTTAAAGAGATTGCCACTTAGCATTTATCCTGGGTTCAAATACACAATATCCTGGCAGTTTTATAACCTGCAGTTTAGCAGACAGGTACATTTATATCCTTCTCACTTTATGCAAGTTTGCTAACAACTATAAAGCACTGTTTGCTTGAAAATGCAGTTTTCATTGTAATTTTGCTGTTTAGAGAACAGTTCACTGATTTTTGCAAGCAGTAATATAGCCCTGCTGTGTCATACTTCAATAATGGAACAATATCATTTTTTTCTCAAAATCCTTTACACTTCATAATCACAGTGTGCACCTAATAATGTCTCTAAAAGGCTAGTTTTCAACTTCAATAAATGTAACTGGCTGTATCCTAAACATCATCCTTACTGAGAACTAAAGAGCTCATGAGCCTTCAATACAGCACCCTAAAATGCAATTATAAATGCAGATGGAGTTTATTAGGAACCTCACTCACATTATATTAAAAATGAAAACAATGATTGTATGAGCTTAAAATATCCCATTAGCCAGGCCATGAAAAAGTTTCTTAGAAGTTATGTTTCCTATGTGTCGAATGTAAGATACTTTAATGCAGTATCAAGAATATTGTATCCTATCCTATGTAAGAAAAGTAATTAAGGCTGGCCACAGACTTAAAAGGCCGTGCAAGCATGTTCTAAAGCAGTACAACGCACAAACATCAATTTGTAGGGGAAGGGTGAAGCAGACAGTGGGAGTGGCTTATTAGCAGGCTTTCTAAGCTGTCTGATGTATTGTTCAACTTGAATGGCATAATAGAACAGTCATCCAGGGGACTCATAGACATGAAGTAACTGTCCAATCTGCCTGGCCTTGGCCATGTACATGCCATCTCATATCTATGGGAAGTGTAAAGCTGAACTCTGGGAATTAAAGAAAAATAACCCTACTTTAATAAGTAATGGAACAAGCCTGTTCTTTGGTCTGGCAGGCTTCCAGCACTCAGTCACCTCTTCTCCCTAAACTCAAGTTGTTGGTGGGCCCTTGCAGTCCTCACATACAATGCAAGACTACCGCTTCTTCATTGTTTGTGATGACCTCAGAGGGCACCAAATGGAAGGAGTGCCCTAGAGAAGAGGCTTCAGGGGACCAGTCATACAGCATTAAGAAAACCTGCATGGGACAAGGAATATGTATTACAACTTATTCCTCCACATCTAGACTTAACAAGCATTAAACTTCTTGTAGAGCAAGGAGGTCCCAATGCAAAGGTATTTTTTTCTGGTGCCCGGAGTGCGGCTTTAAAGACCTGCATTATGGAGGCTCTGTCCAAAAAAGGCAAGAAGGGATGAGGGACTAGTCACCAGTATTACCTGTGGTCTCCCTGCAGGTGATCTTCTTTCCATTACAAACCTACCATGCCTTGTTCCACGCTGTTTACTGTGTGAAATTGGCCATATTGGTAGAGGTGGAAGCAACATGAGAGGTGGAAGAAACACAGATCCACAGAATGAATAGAGCAGAAGCAAGGGAAATACTTGCTATGCAACTTCTCCTCCAGCAAACAACAGTGAACAGAACTATCGTGACATCACCAAATCTCACTTTAAATCTCATGAAACTAGCAGTCAGAGGAAACAAAATAAAAAGCTATGATGCTGTATGTATAGCCGTGCCTAAACACAATCACATGCCAGGAAATGATCTACTATTTTGTAGGACAATTCAAAATAGATTAATGTATTGCCTGGACATCATTAACAGTTCTAGAAGTTCCCTATAAGATATCACTTCTTTAAGTTGTGAGTTCAATCAACGTTTACTAATGGGAGTGTTGCCATAAGGGAAGAAGTCTTACTTGACTGCTATCTAATAAATATAGACATATTTTATTCTCAGAAATAATGCTGCATGAAATGTGCACAGTTTTTTGTTTCAGTTACATCCTACTATAAATGTTGCTTGTTATCATCTTTTCTTCACGGTTAGTATTCTAAAATAACTCTGAAACAATTAGCTGCTGAAATGTTGTCTCACCTTGTGGTTTTTGCCATGACGAAACATCATCCAGTCCTCACCATTGGTGCTAACTTCCAGCTTGTATGATTTGACATAATAGGTAGTCTGTGTTTCTTTTGAGACAGCACCTTGGGTTGCCACAGCTGTCAGCAGAGTCAAGGAGCGGAGATCAATCTGTAGGTATATTAATGATAACAATATACTTAGTATTTTGGAGCTGCACACAGTTTTCTAGTAAAAGTCTGACAGCTTAACTCCCAGACGAGACCCATCCAAGCTGTTTGCTCTAACAATTGCATCTTTCTACAGTGTGTAGCAATCTCTGTTTAGAACCGTACGTGGCTTAGCAGTGCAGCATGACACTAGGTATTAGGCTTTGGGCAGTGTTATCTGGAAGTTGAACTAAGGATAAAAAATGCTCACATTGAGATCACCGATACAAAGACTGACAGCATGCACATGTTTCTAAACATACTGAATAATGGAACACCGGTGAGAGAAAACAGGACATTCTTTGCCGTCTCCAGTTCATTTTCCATCATTAGTTTTTGTAAAGAAATTGTATGTTCTGGTAAGGTATGCTACACAGGGCGTATGAACATTCCATCCTAAACAATCAGACTGAACAAGTATTTATCTAGCTAGCACTGCACAAATCCTCTGTCTGAAGGTAGTCTGGCATGGATATTGCATGTAGAGAGAAATACATGCTTAATCAGGAGATTCACCCAGCCATTTTGTAATACACCTGTCTTGGCAATAAGAACTAATCTTTTTACAATCAACATACATAAAGAGGTGGTTGTAACATTGGATTTGTCATATTGAGTTTGGCTCTTTATTCCATACAGATCAATGGCCTGTCTGGTAGTAGCCCCCTCTACCCATGTCATAGCTAACACAGCAGCCATTTTTTCTATAAAAATACTATTATTTGCCTGTACCCTTTACCTATTTTAATATTTTATTCACTCCTATATTACACATTAAATGAAATGCTCAGGTAGTTAGAATTACATTAGCAAGTTTTAAGACTTAGCCAATCTGTTCTCTTCCGATGTTTTACCATCCTAGGTTTTATAGATAATTAACCATATCTCTCATTGTCCCATTTAACTGTTCTATACTAAAAGCTATAGTGACACAGCAATAATCTGCCACAGCAAAGGAAAGATGTATTTCCATCACCATCTACCCCCAAACCAAAAGTTGGCTCCTGTAACTGTATCTGTGAAAATTAGAAGCAGTTAACATGTTCTGCATATGACTTTAAAAAATGACTGGAGGTTTTTAAAGGAGTTATCATTGCTGATGATGTGATGCAAGAGGCAGCCTATGCAGTCCTAAAGTTATTCTCAAATGAAAAAAAAAAAATCCAATGCAGTAATGCCTAAGACACTTTGCATTTTGCTTGGTGGCTTCTTTTTCCTGCCAGATTACTAATGTGGAATAAATTATCTCAGTATTTGGCAGCTGGACGCAGCCCTGCTGAGACAATGTGCCTTCCCCTTGGAACCATAGGTGGGACTATGAAATGCCTTTACATTTATAGCTTGACCTTCATAACATAGGAGGTGGAAGGGTTGGCAGATGGCAGTAGATATTACACCATAGGTTTTATTTTCATTGATGAAAGTGTTAAATCCCCTCCCTGCTGCTATTCAGGAAACTGTCTTAGCTAAAGGTTACAGTGCTACTCTGTGTATCAGTCACGGTAATGGCAGAGACATACAGAATGTAACTGTAATGTCGCAGTCATTGACAACGCTAAATTAACCAATTACCCATCCTTAACACACTTTTTGCATTTGATTCGTTCTCTGTGATTATTTAACCATATACTTATTATTCAAAAAGGACATTTACAGCAAAAATATAATGGCTTGGTATCATATTTTTTAAGTGGACAACTTTCCTCTTAACACACAACCAGCTGTATAAAGCTCATTGTCCAAATGTAGAAGTGGGTATGGTTGGACAACACAGTAAAATTGACTATGATGGGAGTGTATCTTAAAAATAGTCATTTCAGAGATGATCAATAACAGTAAGTGACAGCTAACTTTCTCAAATACAATTCTGCATATATTTTTTAGTTTTTCAGAGAACAAAAAGTTATTTTTGTGTGTGTGTCTTTATCCTGTAGCCTTGGGTTTGGTAATCTTGAATGTGTTATTATTTAGCTCACACTGTACCCTAGGCTGGCTCATAAGCAGTTATACTTTTCTTCTGTACACTAAATCTCAGTTATACTTGGCTCACATCCTAAGGGAGCTGACTGGTGACGGGGTGATTTAAAACGCTGCAGCCTGTTTCTGCAGAGGATCAATTCATTACGGCACTCCCACCAGCCTTAGCATTATGCCTCCTGACTAACAATTAATCCTGAGCATGGTGCAGTGAGATCCACTTAAGAGGGCTACCTTCCCAATGCATAGCAAAAGCTTCCAAACTGCTGTCTTATAAGGCATTCAAATGAGCCTTTGACAGAAGCCATTCGTAATACATCAATATACCTGATTTAAACCAGTTCGCTAGACACTGCAGCATAAGCTTTTTTCCTCATCTATTGGCATCACTTCACAAATGATTCGTACAGCAGCATTGCAGGTGTGGGATACAGTCTCCTAACACAGTGAAATATTATCTACATTTACAGACAAGGCTGTGTCTTGGCTTATAGCAGATGGATACATCAAGATATTATAATATAATAATAGAATCTAAAAATCCGTCCTGCAAGAGTATAGGTTTGCGTGGTAGTAGTAGAGTCCCTAAACTTGCAAGCATGTCAATGTCTTTCCTATTCATACACAATAATACAATTACAGCCCAGTTGTGGAAAAAAATAAACATGGGGTCATGTTTTGAAAAATGTTCAATTGCATGTAAAGTAATGTTACCTAGAATAGCCAAGGTTTATCATCAAAACAGCCTAACTATTGCAGTATATTATTGTATCTATGTTGGCATTCCAATAATTCCAGGAATGGATACTTTTATATAGCTATATTGGTCCAGCTTGGACCAATGTAACTATGCATAAACCATACCTGTGGGATCCCTCTAGAAGCTGGAAATCACTGTAGTAAGCGCTGCTACTCTAGTGGTCTCCACTAACTTCCGGGTCCTGTGTTGAACGGCTGTCCTGCTGCAGTGTGGACACCAGAGATTGGCTGATGGACACAGGCTCCATTTAGAGAATGCTTTGCATTTTCTCAATGAATGGAAAGCAGTTTCAGATTGGATCAGGTGGACAGCGTGACATCACTTGCCCGCCTATCCTCCTTGTGCAATCAGATAACACTTTACATTTTCTTTAAAATGCAAAGCAATCTCTAAATGGAACCCATGCAAGCAGCCACAGGACCCAGAAGCAAGTGGAAATCAGTGGAGTAGCAGTGCCTACAGCTATTTCCAACATCTAGAGGGATCTCCCAAGTATTGGGTATGCTTAGTTCCATTGGTCCAAGCTGGACCAATGTAACTATGTAAAAATATCCATACCTGGAATTCTTCTCTAAAGGTTACAAGGCAACTCTTTATTGGTTGGATGAGCCAGTACATACAAACAGAAGAATGCTATACATTTGGTGTCCCTCTACCAAATATTATACATTATATTCTGTCTGACAGATTAGGCTATTCAGTAACAGTGTGGTGATTTACGTTTTCTATTTTAACAAATAGTGCTGTGATATGGTTTGGCAGAATGAGAATGCTAGGAGGAATACAACACCAAATATCACAAATTTTAACTAATATTACTTATTTGGACACATTTGTTTAATAACAAATGCATTTTTTACAATAGCCATAGACAGCTCAAAATAGAAAAAGCTATGCTTCTAATTTTCAACATCTCTTGTGATAATCTGTCCATATAGGGTGTCCACAGTCCAGGTCTGATCTTTTGAAGGAAAGATACCAAACATACACAAGTGTCACCATCAGGCAAGCCATACATGGAATTATGTTGGTGCAAATGAATGTCCTCTGGTTAGTCCATAGTCCCACTATGAGGGGAGAGAGAGAACGGGGCCAGATCAGAAGCCCACTGCTGAGTCCGGTGGAGGATCCTCAGGGGTTCCAGAACAGTAAACACCTCAAGGCTGGCCTTTCAGAGTTCTGCAGAAGCAGATCTCCAAATTAACATGTGGAGAGAAAGGTAGAGAAGGCGCCACTGAGTGCAGACTGTAAAAAACACTTTATTAAAAAATAGCTGAAAATACACTCACATTTTAGAAAGGTATATACAGGCACATGTGTAGTATATAAATATCTTCTGGGACTGGTGTGGATATGCTGCGAGTGGAAATTGTCCAGAAGCTGGGTCCAGAGCAGGCCCCTGACACGCCCTCACAGCACTTCTGGGTATGGGTAAGCCACGCCCACAGACTGCGTGTGAAAAAGGGGGGTGGAGTCCGAGCAGAGGCACCAGCGCACAATAGAACTGCACACACAGGACCTCTGTGTTAGTCGGAGGTAAGTGGATCTGAGAGGACACAGAATGGAGAGCAGGAGCGGCACATCAGAGGTCCAGTTTGTGGACAATTGCCACCCGTAGTGTATCCACACCAGTCCCAGAAGATATTTATATACTACGGATGTGCCTGTATATACCTTTCCAAATGTGAGTGCATTTTCAGCTATTTTTTAGTAAAGTGTTTTTACAGTCTGCACTCAGTGACGCCTTCTCTACCTTTCTCTCACCATCAGGCAAGGACTATGGCAGCAACTGTTTTTTTGCCTGTTGTTCTATAAGAGATATCTGACCATCAATGGCTACCCTTACAAAATGTAACTATTAACTTGGAACACAAAAGCCAATAAACCCATTTGGAATTGTCTGCTGATCTCCTTTCCATGGTTCAGAAGAAAACACATCACTTCATTTAAGACATCTGTCTGATTTGAACAATACATTCTATACATAGCGTGTTTTTTGTGTTGTTTGTTGGTAAGCTATTTAACAAGTCATGATTACTTTAACTTGTCAAACAATGAAAGAGACTGTCAGCTCACCTGCAGGTATTCCTTGTTGTTGTCCATATTGGGTGTCCAGCCATTGTCATCACTATTAAGTCTTCCCTGCTGGGCTGTCCACCTTCCATCTGTATATGTTGAAGATGAGGTAATTTGCTCATTGGATATTCGCCTAGACTCCAGTCCCAAAGGAACATTGCACTGAAATGCTAAACAAGACACAAAGCCATATTAAAACTTAAACAGATTTCATTTCCAGAGCTGTCTTCCATGATAATCAAGTTTTCACATAACAGGTGGGTAATATTCAACAGACTTACTCAAGAGCTTTAATGCTCTTAAATTAAATGTACATTTGTGGAGCATTCCGTGCAATTTGAGATTCTGCGTGAATCATCCCATTCATGAGCTTTCTAATTGTTACAGACAAGCTCTGCTATCTTGTCTCTTAACGGTGAACATCCGCAACAGCAGAGCAAATTAGGGACAGCAAAACACGGCCTTATCACGAGAAAAATGCTGCTAATCTTTAGCAATTTAAGCCTTCAGCAGATTAACAGAAATACTAATTTCTTGGTGTTATTCACAGACTCCTGAGATGGGCACATTTGGGCCAGTTTCAGAACTCTATCCTTACACTGCACTGTATCTAGTTGAAATTTAATTATTTTCTTCGGAGGCTACTCTGCATATTTACAGTCAGATGTCTGTGCTTGTGATTCCATCCCAGAGGTGTCCATATTAAAGTTTTCTTGCCTATAACTGGCACTAATGATATCAAAATGATAATTAATAATGTTGTACAGTTTCTCCAGCCGCATAAAGGAGTGCTGTATTTTAACACTGGAGAAGTTTTGCAGACACCAAGGTGCTACAGAGACAATAAGCAGAATGCATAATAAGTGGAAAATGCAGGAACAGGCTAATTAAAAAAACATCAACATCAATGTATGATTGTGCTCAATTTCGCAACCTATAAACATTACAGTTGGCTTCCAAAAGATGTTCTTTAATTAAAGCCACTCTGCGGGAATTTTATTCCCAAGGTATTGTGGGAATCTGCGGGCAAATGAAAGAGTCTCACAACCGTGCATCCTACGAATGGTATTTCCTCACCAAAAGCAACATGAACGAATAAATATACAATTCTGTAGGAAAATCTTAATAATGAAGGCACATTATTTTGCCAGCAAAAAGAATAATATTAATGCAGTAGTGCCTGAGAAGACAAACATTTCAGACAATTATACACTGAGGAGATACAAGTGACTGACACAAAACTTATTGTACTGCTGAATATGACTACAGCTTCCATAACATTTGATTGAAACAAAACATGTAATGACAATCCAGGCTGAGGGACAGAGAACATTGGTTTAATATGACAGACATGGCAAAACTGTAAGAGCACAGGTATTACAAAGTTTAAAATAGGCAATGTGGTTGACAGACATACTGCTAGAGCACAAGAAGAATTTTCTAAGACCTGACAGCGATAATAATAATAAAAAATTATATATATATTCAACTCACTTTCAGGGACCTCCTGAGGGGCAAGGTAAAAGCGAGCTGAAAAGCCATCTTTAGCTACCGCCATGTCGGTGTGAAAGGTGAGAGAGAGTATGCCAGTTGAAGAGCGGATCTCGGAGGGGGTCTTCGTACCGCAATACCTGCCAATCAAGGGCCCCACTGCAGAGAGAAATAAGAGCATCAGTGTTATCAGTTGAGGGCATTAGAGGCTGTCACATCCTTCTGTGTTTTACTAATAGCACTCTGGTGCTTTTCTTATCAGCGACACAGGCCACCGGCAGTAATGGTATATGAAGAAGGCAGCTGCAAATTCCAGTAACCTAATACAATACCGCCGGTCAAAAAGGTAGTGATTTGATTGCCTGGTGTCTTAAAGCAGGGAAAGGGGAAGCGGTAAAAAAAAAGGTGTTGATTTAATGGAAATACTAGGAGTCAAACTGTGGCTGCTGTGCTGTTGACAATGAAAGTGGGGAATAACTCAAGTGATGACTCACATAGTCACTGCTCACCGAAGCTGTATGCTCTTAAATTGGAACTTTAGTAAGAAAATTAAGTCCTGGAAGAAAAGAAAAAAGGGCGCACTCTCCTCGTGCATTACCGTGATAAAAAAAGGATTTATTAAAAATGACAAAAATATACTCACAAACCAAGCGCCATATAAACAGACAAGGAACCAAATGTGACAGTCCCAGAAAAATAGTGGTCCTGCGACAGAGTATTCCAACGTGTTTCAGGAGTCAAACTCCAGCTCTGAGGAAGGGAGTTAGACTCCTAAAACGCGTTAAATACCCTGTCGTAGGACCACTATTTTTCTGGGACTGTCACATTTGGTTCCTTGTCTGTTTATATGGCCCTTGGTTTGTGAGTATATTTTTGTCATTTTTAATAAATCCATTTTTATCACGGTAATGCACGAGGAGAATGGGCCCTTTTTTGTGTTCTTCCAGTAGTATCAAGATTCCCCGATCTTTAGAGGGCTGAACCTCAGAGAGTGACAGAAACTGTGTTTCTGTGATATATGAAGACCTCAGCGCTGGTTTTGCTTTTTCTTGAAGAAAATTAAGTCCTGCTAGATCACTTCATGCTGGTTGTTTTTGCATGCATAGCTATGTAAAGCAGTAAAAATAAATGTATACTGTTTAAAATCCAGTAATGCACTGTCTCACCCTGCTCTGCACATGCTCAGTTGTTATCTATTTTTCATCACTGTGCTGAAAATGTAGAGGCCGATCTGCTGACAGCCTAAAGATAACTGCTGCTCAGAGGCTCTGGGCTTTAGCAAAATGGCAGCCTCCAGCAAGAAGAAATGGTAACAATGCTGGTGGCAATTTACAGCACACACTAATTTTGATAGCATAATTATTAATGTGGAATGTATGTTCCTTGCTAAAGAACATTACTTTTTATCAAATGGTTACGGGTAAAGTTCCACTTTAAGGTCCAACGAACTTGGTCATGTAAGGCAATAGATAGGTATGTGTATATATATATATATATATATATATATATATGTATATATATATATATATATATATATATATATATATTATATATATTTGTGCATCTAAGTTTTAATTAATCAAGCCAATGAGATTTGAAAATTACCACTGCATTGCTGAAAATAAAATTCCATATCCTTGTGGGGAGATTCATACTTGGAGCCTCTAGTTTCCTTGTTGAAAGGAGAAGTAGGACCCTACTCTCCTGTGGGTCATCAATGGCATCCATCTGCGCTCCTGTAACCCATTTTCAGCTGACGGAAGGCTAAAGCCCAACGCCGGCTGACATTACAGAGCCGCCCCTAGCTCTGCAGAGATTCTGAATGTCGAAGTTGGGATCCACCAAGATGCCTGGGCCTTCAGCTGGCTCAGCCTCTCAGTGAGCTACTGAGAGGCTGAGCCAGCTACTCCCACCCGCTCCACTGCCCAGCACTCCAGTATGTGCTGGAGGGGAAGAGCAGAAAGCTGGTGACTGACAGTCATTGGCTTTCTGTTCACTATAGACTAAGAGTCTTAGAGGCTGCATCCACCTATGTGAGTTTAGATTTTTTTTTTTTTATTCCCGAACTTCTCTTTTAAAAAGTAATTTCTTACCATTTGGAATGCCATCCCAGATGTCCAACCAATCATATTTGCAGTCGCCTTCCCCAACTTGGAGAGGGTCATACTCAAGGTCGAAGTTCAGAAACTGCAGGATGATCTCCATCTTTGGCTTGGCCAAAATAGTAAATACACAGTCAAGGTTGTGTGGATATTTGTCTGGATAGCCAGGAGATTCAATGGTGCCATTAGTGTTGGTAAAGTTCCTTGAACAATCTTCAGAGCCTAGAAAAACACAAACAATAAGTAAAGACACAATGCTAAATGACCTTGCTGACCTGAAATCAACAAACACCTACAAATGTGACTATGATTATGTGAGCAATAGGTTTATATTGGAAATTATGCATCTTAAAAAAGGACCATTTTAATGAACAAATGCTATACATTGAACTGTGGACAAAAGCTTGTGTAATGTGATTTTCCTGGAAAAAAAAGACAATCCTAGTGGACACTTTCAGCTATTTTTAAATGAAATACCAATTAGAAATTACATTAAATGACATCAATGAATCCACATTAGCAAAAGGAAAAAACTTTATTGCAAAGACTTTCATATATTCTCACAGATATTATACGGCTCTCATAAAAAAAAATCAAACCATATTTAAAAAAAAAAAATCTCATCTCTGGAGATCACTTGCAAAATTATTTTCAAAAGGTTACAAACATAAAACATAAGAGAGAGGGGTTGCAGCTATGGCTCTTCAGTTTCTAAGGATTAAAGAATGCTTTCTGCTCATCAGTAGACCAAAGGCTATTAATACTCTATTAGCACCAGATTCAACAATGGCATCCATTGTACTGAATAAGCAAAGGGTCCTGCTGTGTTCTGTATCTTTGAGGTGCTTTAAGGGAATGATGCAGTGACTGAAGCAGAGGGCAAGCATGCAATTCACGTTTAAGCAAAAATATGTGGCAAAGATAAAAAAAAAATTTCTACAATACACAATCAGAATCCTATTCAACAACTTTTTAGCAGTCTCCCTGCTCTAGCAGTGTCATATAAATCAGCGTTGATTACATTTTCACCAAATGTATATAGAAATTTATTCTAAACATACATTTTTAAATATACAATTAAACACAAAGGATTATTTGGTTTATGCAGCCTTCCAGAAAAAAAAACAACATTCAATTACTGAGAATTGAAAACAGCCATTCTACTTTTCTTGTGAAACATATTAGAAAACTCTAAATAAAAAGCTCCACACCTAGGGATTCTGTATTTAAGAAGTGTGACAGACAGGTAATTTTGCCTAGGGTGGCGCCCTGTATTAATGATAAACAGTGGCCTAGTAATAGACTTACAGACCACTGTATGATGGTCACTCTACCCCATTATGATGGGGAGGGTGCTATGAACTGATTCTTCAAAGTAGAGATATTTACGGTTGGTCACTCTATTACGATGGGGAGGGTGCTATGAACTCATTCTTCAAAGTAGAGATATTTACGGTTGGGCAGTTTTAAATTTGGTTATGTAACCCCATTACGATGGTCACCCCATTACGATGGGGAGGGTGCTATGAACTCATTCTTCAAAGTAGAGATATTTACGGTTGGGCAGTTTTAAATTTGGTTATGTAATTTAAGGTGCCTCATGATTAACAAAACTTTACATAAAACTCCTCTCCAACGATGTGATGCCCCCGAGCTTCCTCGCTTGTGCCAACATCCTCTTGCTGGCTTCTTCTGGATTCGGGATCTTCAGCCATCAAGATTGGCCAAACCAGGATGATGCAACTTCCACACATGTGCACAGGGATTCATTCATCCTAGCACCTGGAAGATGTGCAGCTCAATATACAAGGTAAATGGTTTGAGAGAAAAAGAAGATAAAAAGCCTTTATTGCAAAAGAGACACAAGACAATGCAAAAAGCTAAAACACCAGGATCTGGATATTTATTTTTGAAAAAGTGAGTTTTTTCAGCTTAGTCCTATGGAATTTGAAAATTATAGACATGAGGCTGAAAATAAAGATACGCACCCTTGGGTAAAGCTTTGTGAATTAGGCTGATAGTATGTTTTTTTCTGTAGTAATTATAACATTCCTTTCCACAAATGTTTAAATTTGCACTAAAGTTTCACTGAAATGCAGGAATCCCATGGAAAGGCATCAATATACTCCGTGTCAGAGCTTAACAGCTTCCCTATACAGTTTTGTTGTAAAGGATGGTTTAACTTGGCAGGTTGTGCTTTAATTGCAGCTTTGTTGAGCATTAAAGCGGAACTAAACCCATTGATTTAACTGTTTCCCAAAACAGCTCCATTCAAGGCATGCAGTAAATAATAATAACTTTCACAGTTTCTTGTGCTCTCAAAATGAACTGTCAAGCCATCAAATGGCTGGTGTCCTAACCAATCAAATGTGAAGCACCATGGCAGCTGCAGATCAAACAGAGGCCAAGATGGCAGCTTTCTTGGCTGTAAAGGCTAGGAGGGTTTAGTTCCACTTTAACCTCCCTAGCGGTCTGATTATGTCCATATTTCTGTGCTCAAAGTGGTACATTTTTTTGCATGGAAATATGTTTTTTTTTATTGTAGGCCTGTAATTTTTAGGAATAACTCACTGAAATCTGTACGAACAAGAGTCTAGCAAATATCCCAGGTATGTTAAAATTTGAAACACGAAATCATAAATTATAATTTAATAAATAATCATAAAAAATAATAATATAATAATATATTTAATTCAATAATATAATCAAACCAAAAACACTGAAATTTGAAATATAGTGAAAGTTCGCACATCACTGAGCAAAGTCGCAAAATCGTTTTCAGTGTCTGATGACGAATTTCCCCACAAATCATTATCACTCAATTCTGCAAGTAGTTCTAATTTACTATCGCTGTTTTCTAGCTGGTCTAAAACCGCTTTTGACCTAAAGGGACGCTTTTTGGACGCCATGGACATTTCTCAGTTTCCAGACAGAAAGAATGGTAAAAATGTAGGCAGGGCGCAGGACAAAGCACTAGGGACAAAATGTATGTGAAATGGTTTGATACAGTAATGTTTTACTATGTGATTTTAGTGTATTTAGTGAATGTCACTTTTTGTCATCTTCAAATTTCTCACCGTTCCGTCCCCCATATGTCCCGACGTCCCAGGGGACGGAACCTAGAAGACAGATGCCAACATCCGCTGGAGGACATTACAGGGGACGCTGCAGGAGGGACAGGGCAAGATAAGAGAAGAACAGATCCCGGAGCAGCGCCGCATGGTAAGCTTGAGTGTATCTCGGGGGTTACCGCTTGTGGTACTGAAACTTTACCCCGAGCTACACTCGGGTATACCGCCAGGGAGGCTACAATGTGTAATGGAAGAAAACAATAACTGGGTTGAGCTGAATGAGGTCCAGTTATAGCTGTGACTGCTGTCTTCCTTAGAGAAGTACAGCCAAAGCTCTTTTGGCTGTACTTCTCCTGTGGATAGGTCACAGTTTGTCCTGCACTCCTGTGACCCCTTTTCAGCTGACATCGAGCTGATGCCCACTGTTGGTTACTCAGCCGGTCCATGTTGGGTAGAGATCCCGAATTTATAGTCGGGATCCACCCCAGAGTCAGGAGCGGCACCTGGCTCAGCCTCATGTGATTGCCGAGTTCTCACACTTAGAGCTGGCGGGGGGACAGATGCAGCATCGGGCCAATGCTGCATCCACCTAGGTAAGTATAATTGGGGAAAAAGACTAAACCACGTACCGACAATTCTCTTTTAAACATCCTAAACCTCATGGCCATCAGCTGCTTCCATTGTATGTAGTGATCTAGTTCCAATTATAAAGAAGCGAATGTGATTTTCAGCAAACATTCATTGGTGGTGAATCAATCACAGTAACTTACTACACATAAAGCAGGAAGGTTTACCTGCTGTGAATGTTTGGTGATGTCATATTCACTGCTTTGCAACTATATTCCTTAGTATTTACATTATGGCACTTTTAAAATGTAAATAAAGCCAACCTGATATAGTTCTGTGCAGTGAAACACGTTTTGCGACACGTTTCAGGGTTCCAAATGTACAGCTTCATAAAATATTTTTATGCAGAATCAATGCTGTGGTGTGCATGGGTGGTCTTCACCACAATGGGTTTCACCTACCATATCAAGTAATAAGTATACAGACAGTATCATTGCCCCTGCATTCTGCTTAAACCAGGCCCATATTGCAGAAGGCTGAAAAAAACTTGGTTAATGCTGTTACGAATGTCAGTATACGCTACCAGGATTTTATTTGGCCATTACAGAAGTCAGAGCAATAAACCAGCTACTGCACTAGAATCTGCTGCCACTATGCTGTTTCATAACACTGCATTCTATTAATTCAGAAAGGAGAAGAGTGATTGACAGCTGTGTATTATGGAAGATCTACCCTGACTGCTAAAAACTCAGACTAGCTTTTATATTCTATAACTTTATCCATCATTTGTCTGAAGATCTCCACTTGTATGGGGAAATGAAAACACATTCTGGCTAGCTGCTATGGTGGACTTCTGTTTTCTTGACACCTGGGCCAACAAAACTCATTTACTGCACAATGAAATGCTGCCAGGCAGCTTTCTTGAATATATTTATTCAGCGACCTTCAACCTTCAGCTTACTATTCAATTATCCCAAGATCTCGCTTGTCTTTTATATTATGTGCATAAATATTTCACTCTCATACACAGCATTGCTACAGACTGGACTGGTGCGCATATGCAGAACCTGATCTGAGATTCCGTTCACATGCACAAGCTGATACAGCATGCAGGACCCAAGACAAAAGCTAGATCAATGATACAGCACTAATCCAGATACCTCTGGAACCAGGCAGCGCAGAAATGCATATCTAAGATAGCTCACAAACGGCACACTATTTCTTTTTCTATCCTGTATCTTGATGAGACAGTATATTTCTACAATTCCTGCGCAATACAAATGAGACCAGGTTGGCAGATATTTTCAATAGCTAGCTGCCAGCAGCACTAGCATTAAAAATGCATAAGGGAGAGGAGGATGTTAAATGTAGGAATCAAATGGACAGGACAAATTCCTAGGCTGTTCCCGACCAACATTTTTTTACTTCCAGCATTAAGTAAGCCAATACCAAACCTGCGGCTAAAAACAGCCTGAAGTGTTTATAAAGAGCTTAAGTCCTACAGTCATAAATCTGATTGCTTTATTTTAAACTAGTGACATTTCATTTCCATAAAATATATGTGTGCACGGGCATCTTACAAAA